ATTTTTTTATTTTTATTATCCAATGCCTCTTGAATTAAATCCCATACAAGAGCAATTCTAAAGTTTTTGTTTGTAATATTTGTATTTGTAATCTTGCGATAAAGAATACTACTATTAATAAGAACTGTATCCAATAACCAAAAAAATAATGGAAACCAAGTACGACGTACTGTAAGCTGACAACTATAGTAACCTCGAAGTTGATCTACAAGATCAACACCCCCCATATAATTATTATAATCATCAATTATTCATTGAATAGATAATTCTTTTTATGACATATTACCAAAAACTTGATAAACTTTATTAGCATTGGTACTTGTTTTACAAGGACATCATCGATTTCAAATTATTTTCCATTCATCATCTATAATTTTATGGATAGTTGTATGCATGGTTACTGGCCCATTATCAACCCATAATATAGCTAATACATCATTTGTAACTACTCTACTAAGCATATTCCAATCTAATAAATAAACATTATTAGGTTTTAATTCTTTGGGAAATTTAGATGAATTGGTTCTAACAGTTCCACAGGCACCTATATTGTTTTTGCGCAAATATTTAAAAAGAGGAATACTTGAAAAATAATTATCCATATATATATGGAAATTTTTTTCCTGGGGGAGTTGATTTACCAAATACCATACTGTACATCTAGCCTTATTAATACCAGGGATTGACTCTAAATCTGTATTATCTTCGATTCGTGAACTAAACATAAATGTATACGTATATCCAGCATCACAGAGTGAAAATATTTTATAGCCTTCAGGTACAGGCTTGTTTTTCATTTTTACAGTATACATACTGTGGCCAGAAAAGCGAATCATCATCTCATCTACAGATACTTGTGAGTTAGAAACATATGATTTTTTGAACATATTTCAAAGTTGCAATGCTAATAGTTCAATTTTAGAGTACCAGTATAAAGAAGGCTTATATGGATTAGATATGTGAAGAAACCGTTTAATTTGCTGAAATCGATATATTGATATAAATTGACTAATGTTATGAATAGCTCTTTGTTCATCTGAATTCCACAAATCTACAATACCATGAATTTTGTAAATTCCCATATAAATGACTATCGCAATCCAAATCTTTAACTCCTTTAAAGTTAATAAAGTCCAAACATGACCTTTTTTTAAACTATTTGCTCGTTTTAATTTTTCATAATTATTAGTATTATTTACAATTGTTTGTAAATAATAGTCAGTAAAAAATAAATGAAATAATGCAAGCGGACTAATAGTACTTTGCTGCATTTTATGCGGCAGTGTAGCATAACCTTTATGAGTCTCTTTATAATTTTCTATTGGTTCATACACCGGCAACTCTGGAAGGGTTAGTATTTTATTCGATTCGGCCCTTTTGTCTTTATCTGTCCTTTTACTAATTTTTTTTTTCTCTCCCACCCATCCCACTTTTTCTACCTCGCTTGAAAGTTTTTTCTGTACTTTCTTCATATTCAGAGTCAGTGACATTATCTTGTTCTTGGTCAGTGACATTATCTTGTTCT